GCAGGGCGACTCTGCGTACCGCGAAAAGTGAAGAAGAAAGAAAACGGCGATACATAGACGCAGCTACGGAAGTTTCTGGACCTTTCTGGACGTTTTCTTCGCTTCTTTTGGGCTGGATTCTTGTGCATAACGGAATCGCAGCAGCACCAAGACTACAAGCCGACGGCTCTGCGAATCACAGAAGAGGAGAACTGCGATACATAGGCGCACGACGACAGTTTTTTGAACTTTGGAGACGGTCGTTGATCTTCGCTTCGTCTTGGGGTGGATTCTGGTATACATAAGTGAGTAAGTAGACAAATTGTGTGCGAAATAAAATTTACTGAGTTTTTCTATTAAATTGTTATTTGGGGTGGTGAGTTGCGCGCGAAGTTCGGTTTTACGCTGGTCAACATGAAAGCCAGATTGGATGCTCCTACTTTGGAGCAGTGAAATCCCTGTAGCAAAATTTTAAGAAGGATTCGCAATCGAGGAAAACGAGGATTTACCTGAAGAAACGGCTGGAAAAAGTTGAGGAGTTACGAAGCGCGTTTAGGGAGACGGATTCAATGACCGTGAACCTGGAAGGATTTTCTGTGTCGGTCTATGCCACGAATGATTTCCAGTCGGAGTTCGAGGAGCGGTACATAGATGCCTATTGCGCTTTCGTGGAGGATTTGGACAAACTTGGACCAGAGGCTTGTGCGCCTCCGCCGCCAGTGTCTGAGGCGCCGATGCGGAAGTCCGGCTGAACATGCCCCCGATGTCGATTCCGAAGTTCTCCGGCGCGTGTGTCGATTGGCCAGGCTATTATGATGCCTTCCCGAGCCTAATCCACAACAACGCCAATCTGAGTAGTGTGCAGAAATGGCACTTTCTCAAGGAGTCGCTGTCGAGGGACCGCGATAATGACATCTGTCAGATGCAGCTCACGGGAAGGACAACACAGAGTTAATACGGTCGATGTTAAGCACGGTCAATTTTTGTCTGGCTGCATTCCGACGCGTTCAAACCTTGGACGGGGAATCGCAGCACTGGCTGGCACACTACGTAGCATCGAGGCTATCCAAGGAGATCCTCAACGCTTGGCAGCACCATCAGGGAAGTTGTTCCACAGTTCCATCCTACAGAGAGTTGGAGTCATTTTTAAACGATCGGCTGGTTATAATGAATGCTAAATTATGTATTAATTGCCTTAGCAAGGGGCATGCCCTTTCGCTTTGCACGAGTAATAAAAGCTGTCAAGTTTGTGCCAGCGTCATCACACATTGTTGCATTTCTCATTTCATAGCCAGTCGCCGAGCGGTGCAGACAGGGAGAGCGTATATCAACAGCGCAGGCAGCCAACGACAGACCAACGACAGACAACGACAGCTATTCAGCAACGTCATCGAATCTGTCTTCGAGAAATGTCCTTCTCGCCACTGCTCGTATCACCGTTCGGAACCCGGTCAACGGACTGCACGATGTCATAAACGCCCTGGTCAACCAAGGATCGGAGGCAACCATTGTCTTGGATTGGATCCTATCTGGATTGGCGGACGGAGTGCGGGAAGCGAGGACACCGAGGCATTGCTCAGGCGTTTCTGCGAGGTGGAGGCCGTTCCGGACCGTTCTTTAACATCGAAGGGGGACCTCTGGTGCGGAGCCTTTTTTCAGAAGACACATATTCGTCGATAGGATGGCCGTTACGTGGTACGGTTGCCCTTCAAAACTTACATTGATCCTACTATGGTTCTGGGAAGATCGCATCAGATGGCGCTCAATAGGTTCCTGCAGTTGAAACGGCGTCTGTCGAGCAGTCGGAGCGGTGGAGGAAATATGTCGAGCAGATCGAGGAGTACTTTGTCCTCAAGCAAATAGCGCCGGCGGTGGGCAGTGAAAGCAGTTCGCTGATGCGTACTTCTACTGATAGGCATGTGGCTTCCTGCGTGCGGTCTTTAAGAAGGAGCCGCAGTCGCTTAAACAAAGAATCGTTTTCGACGCCTCCGCAAGGACTAGCAACGGAAGATCTCTAAACGACGTATTGTGGACTGGGCCTGCCCTTCAGAACGACATGTCGCACGACATACTGAATTGGCGAAAATATCGTTTTGTTTTTGCAGCGGATATCCAGAAGATGTATCGTTGTTTAGATGTTCATCCGGAAGACGCCCAATACCAGCCGATTTTATGGCGTCTGCACCATTCACGGCCATCAGGGTCATACAGCATTTGGCGAAGGACGAGCGCCGTGAGCGAAATATATGTGGATGACATTCTTTCCGGAGGTCACACGTTGGAGGAGGCAAGGGATAAGCGGACACAAGTATCGGGTGCGATAAAATCCGCGCGCTTGGAGTTGCGGAAATGGTTTAGCAACGAGTCCAGCCTCTTGCTCTCGATTCCTGAGGAGCATCAGTGCAGCCGGACTCCTTTAAACTGGGACACTACGGATCCTACCAAGGCGTTAGGGATATATAAGCTCCCGAATAAGGACTGATTTAAATTTCAGGTCAATTTTGAGAATCCAGCTAGGTTCACCAAACGGATGATTTTATCGAGCATTGCTAGGCTGTTCGATCCACTGGATCTCATCGCACAAGTCATCATCGTGGGAAAGCTGATCTTGAAGGAGGTAACCATGGCAAAAAAAGTGCATGCGGACTGCACTCAGTCGGCGCTGAAGTGGGACGACGAAGTTCCGGATGCCCTCGTAGAACGGTGGCGAACGTTTCGGGACGGGTTGCTGAGGATCGACGATAAAAGCATAGACCGATGGATTCATTTTTCTCCTGGATTTATAGTCTCAGCTCAGCTTCACGCGTTCTGCGACGGTTCATCGACATCGTATGCGGCCATGGTCTACCTCGAGTGCGTGGATGGAGCATGCTATAGCTCACTGTTGGCCTCGAAGTCAAGGGTGACTCCCACAAGGCCCTTGACTATACATAGAACGGACTGTCTCCGGGTGGATTGAAGGGCTTTGGCTTATGGTGGCGAGGCTCTGAATGGCTTACACCCAGTCCGAGTGACTGGCCTTCTATGGAGTTCGAGCAGGTCGACACCAACGATGCCGCACTAGAGGCAAAGACGGCCAAAGTACGAGTTCAACACGCAGTCTGGCTTCCGTCGTTCGTTGGCAGATTTTTTACTTTAAGCCGGGCTGTACGAGTCACTGCCTATGCGTTGCGGTTCAGGCACAGTGCTGTCGGCAAGGTGGAGAGGCGCATCGGCCCCTAACCATTGAAGAGCTTGACTTCGCTTTAGGGGCTATAGTGCGCATCGTGCAGCGGGACTTGTTCCCAATGGATTTGGCTGCAGTAGGAGATAGTAAACGGTTGCCTGCGAGATGTAAGCTTAGGCGACTACGGCATTCTAACTTGCCATATCATTTCACTGAGCTGGTAATTCGGCACTCGCTAGTTTCGACTTTGCACGGAGGTGCACAGCTGACTTTATCCCATACAAGCCAGCGGTTCTGGATAGTGTCAGGATAGCAGGCAGTTCGAAGAGTTGTGCGGATATGTGTCCAGTGTTTCCGGGCACAGCTCTCCGCTAGTCCCCCCTAGTCGCCAATTCATTGCAACGGGAGTTGACTACACAGGCGCTATAGAGCTCAAGGCAGCACGGTTGCGAGGCACCAGCTTGTACAAGGGGTACATCGCCGTTTTCATTTGCCTTGCAACAAAGGCAGTGCATTTGGAAGCGGTGACAAGCCTCACCATGGAACATTCCAGGACTCCAGCTTGACGACCTCGTCGTCATCAAGGACGACCGTTTTTCGCCGTCGCAATGGATACTGGGGCGCGACGTCGAGCTACACCCGGGGACGGATACGTTGGTTCGGGTTGTCACGCTTAAATCCAAGCAAGGCCGGTTGAAGCGTTCGGTGTCGAAGCTCTGTCCACTGCCGATCCGATCATAAGCACCCTCACATACATACTTCAATTATAATTAACTTGTTTCTTGCGCACACTTCTTGTTTACTTTCCTATACTAGATTCTACCCCACAACCAGGATGGACCGGACAAGCGAAGGTTTCTCATGCTAGGTCTAGCATTGGCGGACGGCATGTTAAGTTTGCTGCTTGTCCCAGTGTGCTGGAAGCTGGGAGCGGGGTGCGGAGAGCAATCAGCTGATCGCTCTCGCACTTTGGGACGATGCATGGGAGCGAGAACGAAAGCGGGAAGAGGGCAAAGGCTGTCGTCTTCGGCAAGCGAGAGATCACGCACGTCGCACGTCGTTGCCACGCTCACTTTTCAAAAATACCTGTTGTGAAAAATCCTGTTAATTTTAAAAATATTATTTTTGGCCACAAAAACGGGTCAAATTCCACATGGTGCAACGGCCGGTCACTCGGTAGGCGCCTCTAAAGTCGGGTGGCGCTTCAGAGCACCGAACAAGAACAGGTGGTGGCCACGATATTCGATGTTAATGCTACTGAAATTATTCTAGTAAGCTGGTAGCCGGGTCGTGGCTCCAGCTCAATCGTAACCCTAACTCGCACAGATCACGGCCGTCGAAAACTTCGTGTGCCGTCCAACGCCGTGCTCTTAGCTCAGATCACCGTAGCATTGTTAACTTATATATGAAGTATAAATGTGTGCCAGTGTTTCGGTGTCAGCGTCCGAGAGTTGCGACAGAGCTTCTTCCTACTAAACGTTGACGCTGCTCTTGTTGGTATGAGCGGCCACTGATCGATCGGCGGCCGTAGTTCAGGGTAGCAAGAGGTGATTTGTATGGGATGCTCGTCGGGTAGGTAACTCGTGCGTCATGGACGCCTCCATTTTTCATCCTGGTTTCGTAATTCGTTACACACCTTTTTTGAGTTTGTGTAATTCGGGCTCGCATTCTGTAATGATTTTGGCGTCATCCGTATACGACACGGTGTCCGACTCTGATTATTTGCTTAGTTCTAGTGACCCTAAGTCTAATTGACTACTATCAACCTATCAGCTATGCGTGTGTGAATCAAGTTTTTTATTTCTAAAATGTTCGAAACTAAACCGTTTTTATGATGCAAAATATTACACAGATATGTTGTGATTTTGTTTTTATTCAATTTAAATTAATTGTTTAATCTTTATTACATAATATAATTCGATTTAGTTGATTTTGCACACACCTTAAATTTTTTAATAAATTTGACAAAAAAACTATTAGTCGACACTGCAACTTAAAGTCAGCTTAGAATAATGCAGCTATGATTTTCATGACCATGACCTTTCGACCAAACATCGAATGATTATTTTTTAGTGTCTTTACATATGCTCTGTGATTTATTTATATTATTTGGTAGCCACGATTTAAATTTTGTGCTCAAAGTAAATTTAAATACATAAGCAAGGATAAATGAAATGAAGACCGGTTACAACGAATATATCAATTGAATATGCCATAATCCAAGTGTATACTATAACTCAGGAAACTTAAGGATCGTATTTAAATTCGATTAGAAATTAAGTAGATAAGAAGAGCAATGGCGCAACAGCCAAGAGGTAATACACGGTGCAGCAACATTTGTTTTCCATTTGGCATATGCTGCTGCTTAAGGTGCAGCTCTAAGATTTCGTTTCGTAGCTGAATGTTGCTACGCTCCATATCCTCTAGTAGTTCTTTATAAACAATAAGTTCTTCCTCCTGTTTTACTTTTAAATTATTTATAGTTGCGAGGTCCTCGTTCCAATCTTTCTCATTTATCCCTTGGCAATTGCCTCGTTTCGATTTCTGAATTTGCAGTTTTGCTCCATTCTTGTGGTCCACATTATGTTCAAGCCGATTCTTTAGCAGCTCGACTTGCTCTTGCAAGGAGTACATTTCACCTGTCATATCTACCGTCTTTTCCCTATAAATGTCACATTCTTCCTGTAATATTTTATCAGCCTGCTCTGTGGGAAAGTCAGGTTGAATATTAAGACTTTCTTTACAACGCACTATCATCTCCTGACTCTCCAATTTGTGAACTTGATTATTTTTTGCATTATATCGCTCATACAATGGGTCGTATACGTTTTCAGCAGCCTCTTCCTTAATACCTGTATAAAGCTCTGTGGTGACATCCGATACATTGACGTTTTTTTTCTCACTGTCGGAATCTACGTCATCGTAAAATATGGCATTTAGCACTGCTGAGCCGTCTTCGCCCTTGCAAAGATCAGAGTTTCTTAGCAAGTTTATTATGCTTGGTTTGCTATCGATCTTGCTCAGCTCTTTTGTACTTAGTTTCAACTTCTTGTCCTACAATATAATTGGAATACATATACTGATATTTTCATAAATATTAAATATACCTGTGTTTGGTTCCCCGAATCTGATCTATGCTGATCGATGTCAACTGATACATGACCTTGTGGTACGAAGAGACCACCATCATCAGAAATTTTTAGGTTTGCTTTTTCATCCTGGGCATCTTGTTTTTTATCCCAAACGTCATCGTCAGGAGTAATTGAATTCAACTGATTTTGATTCTGCAGTTGTTCATTTTCATGTCCGGTAGTAGCCTGCTGAACCCGCGTAACCTGCAGACGAAGTTCCTCAAGTTCGCGCTCTTGCAATGACAGCTTCTCTTTTAGTAGTTCCAAGCTGCGTTCCTCCTGCTTTTTAGCCTCATGTTGTTGACGCAATGATTCCTGCTTGTAGTCGATGTACTCCTGCTGAAGTTGCTCCAACCGAGCGTTAAAGTCCTGTAATGTCTGCTTTGATGTAAGAATTTGGGAACGCAATATCCCGCACTCGTTTTCGGAAGTAGCGTAGGCCATTTCCATTTTGGAGAGCATTTGTATAGCATCGCACCGTTCCTGGTAGACCTTGCGCAGGGCCTCTTTAGCAGTTAGCTGGTAAGTAGTTTTATCTTCAAGAAGCTTTATAACCTACCAAAAAGCAAAGATAATCATAACAATTTAAATACAGCAGACCTTAGTGTCACTTACTTCGGTACGGAGCGTATTCTCCGGAATGTTTTTCTCCATCATCTGCAGCTTCTTTTCCAGTAGATTTATCTTGTGTAACAACTGATCTTCAGTTATCATGCTTTGCCAACACATAGTCGAGTTCTTTCTTGTGGTATCAAGAACGCATTGCAAGCTACTTAACTTAGCCTTTAGAGCCTTCTCTCGTTGTGCCGCCTCTTGGAGAAAAGAGTTCAGACGCTGAATTTCGTCGAAGCTTATTCGATTGGGCCCTGCCAATTGCATCTGATTTGCTTCAATCGAAATGGCTTCTCGTCCATCGGGGAAAAAAAGACTGACACGAGCAATAATGCATCCGTGCACCTCTTGTCGGGAGTTCTCAATCACCTCAACACCGAACTTAACGGTATCTCCGTAATGTAGCTCCGCTGGATCATTACCAAGCTTGTTATCGTTGATAAAGGTACCGTTGCTAGATTTTGTATCCTTGACCCAGAATCGACCGTCTGGGGTATACCAGAGTATTGCATGGTTTCTTGATAAGACTTTGCAGTCAAATATAGCGTTCCCCTCGCTCGCCTTGCTTTTAGCTATAAGACGGCCCACCTTACAATCGTGGTTGGGTTGCAACAGTATGGATCTTGTGTCGAATTTGTGGGATTTGGGCTCGCACTCTAGAATGATTTTAGCGTCACCCGTACATGAAAGGGTAGCCGACCCTGATTCTTTGCTTGAATTTACGGAGGCAGCCTTAACCTCAGGAGTGGCCAGTAAAGTGCTACATTCCATTGCGTGTTCCCTTTGAGCTCCTAGCAAACTAAGAATATTGCTGGCAGTAGTTACACCAACTCCAGCGTTGTTTGTATTCATGGCCATGTGTAAGACCTCGGAAGCGGCAGCTGGCATTTGAGCAGTCATACGACGTTCAATGTTACGCGAACCCTGTAATGTTTTTGTATTAATGTCAGGGATTTGAATGTTATTTTCCTGGTTCACAATGTCGTGTTTACTATCAGCCGTCATTTCCATTATTTTAAATAGTTGATCTTGCTCAATATTTTTCTCAGCTTCTATGTTTGTGGTGTGCTGAGAGTACTTTTTCTTGACAATCGGTGATACCCCTCCCAATGATTCAGTCCAGGTCGTTTTAGACAAGCCAGTGTCAGTATCTGTGGTGGTCCCGTTGCTCAATGCTGTGGCTATTACCGCTCCTGAATGTGAAGTTGGCAATGTTATGTTTGGTTTCTGGTCATCATCCTTTTTTATCTGCCATTCGTTGCTCACTAAGACCATCACTGAACATACACGTCAACGTTTGATTTAGCTGGAATTAATAATTTCTTTTTACTAAGGAAAGGGGAAAGTCAATGATTATTATTTTCTAATTCGAGCGGCTGCTGTTCATTCGACAAAAATTAAACCGAAAAGCTTGCTATCAGAATTTTCGAGCATGGCCTTATTGGATTGATAAGCTTAAACTTAAAAAAAAAAGCAACTGAAAACAGAAGATGGATTTCTCAAAAATCGTCGAAAAACATTCTAAGACTTCATAGTTTACACGGTAGAAGTGCAAGAAAGATCCCATTGACTTAAACAGTAACATATCAAGACGACTTTGATTTGAAGTCTGAGAACAACTAATTGAATTGCTCATATACAAATTTTAATCGCACTCCGCAGAACAGTTTTTCTATTCTCTTTTGATCTGCTCATTCTCGGACCTCTTGCCCGCGAACGATGATTCAAAAAGTCTTTTGCGCACTTAAGTTTAAAGGGTACTGCTCCTCACTAGAGCTGTAAACAATTCGATTTTTAAATCGATATTTTTGGATGAGCGAAAAAATCGATTCTTTTTTAGGGAATCGATGCATCGTCAAATTTGCTCATCTAATAAAATAAAAAATTAAGTAAGCGAAAAAATTATTTTAAAGTAATATAACTCAAGTAAACTAATAAATATTAATCACTTCCGGAATCAGTGTGTGTTGGTGTTGAGGAAAAAGAGAGAGATTGATAACTATGTTCGTTTTTCAAATTGAAATGATCGTTGTCCACGCTGCATCCATAGTTACCAACCGCAGAGCGTCCTTAAAACCAAAAACGTAGCCAAGCTTATACTCACAAATAACACCCCATGAGTTTTAAATAAATAACCAAAAACATTGATCTCAAACAATTTTTTTAAAATTATTTTATGATGCTCCCAATGCGAATTGTTTTTTTCCGATCAACCCACAAAACTCGAAAAACCAAAAAAGCAAAAATTCGGAAACTATAAGAGATGGAAAGTTTTGTTTAAGAATACGTATTTAAGAGATGCCAATGCAACCTGCTTGTTACTTGTTGCATCCGGCCACGCCTACTCTAACGCCCACAAACCGAGGAAAACTGTGGCGTCTATAATATTATTATGAATGCCTTTGTTTGACGATATATGACTTATTTCTGTTAATATCTATCGATTTACCAAAGATTTTTCAAGTCGGAATATTAGTTCGCTATTTATGAAGAAATTTAGGTTATAAGGCCTCACATGGGCAGTGACGTCACTATCAGTTACTTAACATGCTTCCTCTGACAGTAGGTGGCGCCTTGTGAATTTCCACTAGCAAAATTAATATTTTAAAATTGTGTAAAACATCTTATAGTCGCGGTACTCGGCTATAGCGTTTCCTCTTGTTGTTTTTATCAAACTTTGCATTGTGGAAGGTGAGTTGACAATATTTCTACCAATTTCGGGTTAATTGCGGTTCGCTAAATATAATTTTATTATAGTTTTTCGAAAATTTAAGGATAAATCTTGACCCCGACCCATTTCGTCCAATTACAGCCAAAAAAAAGCAGCGGAACTAACAAAACAACTTAGAGAATAGTACACCGAAGTACAGTTCAAAAAGGAATCGCGGATTATCGTTGGATTCAGAAATAAAGTCAAGAATGAGAAGTGTACGAATAATTTTTGTGCGTAAAAAATGACTTTTTTGTGTTATTTAGGAAATTATCTAGTATTAAAGTTAAAACTTGTTAATGTTTAAAATATATTCTCGAAATGTATATCTTTCTTTTGAGATATTACACTTTAATTTCCGTTACGTATTTCTTGATATTTTAGGCAATAAACGTGCAACACATGGGTGAACGAATAAATTATGTGCAGACTGTATGTATGTAAGTCTCTCCAATTATTTACAATTTGAAATATCAAGGTACTGAAAATTACCTTTTTTTACAATAATAATATTATTTACATTCCTTGGACATCTTGAAAAGCTTGCCGGCTGGGTAGCCATGCATAGATGTGCTGTGATTTAATATATGTATGTACATAAAATGTATGTATTTACATTTAAATACATACATATTTGTAACAATGTTATAAATAATCGGTGGGCGACTGTTGTTTTATTTATAATTTGTAGAGAATTTAAACGTGTTTTATTTTAAAAAACTGATTTCACACTATTATTTTCGCAGGCAACAACATGGGTCACGGCCGGAAGGTCACTTACCTTAGGTTTAGGTAACTCTACCGCTAAAACTCCTACGTCTTTCTTCTTATTTTCTTTTAATATTTTTGGTACTTTTTTTAAGGCGTACTATGCATTATTCTACAGTATATTGTGAGTTTTATCTGGAATAGACCTTAAAATCAAAATTTATTTATAGGGTAATTCCATTAACCACATCCTACTAAAATGGTTTGATTTGTAACTTAATCTGGAAATCTTTAACATTTTAAAATATTTTAGGTTTAAGCTTAATGCTAACTTGTTTAACTTAATAAACAGTTTTTAATTCGGAATTTTTTAATTTAATTTAAATAATAATATTTTTTTAAATTTAATACTTTCTAACCAATTTACGTTTTAATACAGGCATGCTTAACGATTATGCTCTGAATGCTCATTTGTGTTTGTAAATGCTCGGAGCGTATGATCGCCCATAAGCTTTGAGCGCTCCCGGCGATATTATTCTAACAATATCTCGTTTTCTTCGTTCCGCATCATTCCGTCGCCAATCGCAATATATATTTTGTTCTTGTTTCTTCCTTGAACATCTTCGAACATTTCCACTTGCTTGCAATTTAGAGTTTATTTCTCATTTGGCGGTTTAGTAAAATGAGTGATGATTTTTTTTCTATCAATGCAAACCAACACAAAACGTTTCTTGTAAATTTATGTATTGTAAATGCTCTTTCGTAAGACGAAATTGAGCACCCCTGTTTTAATAGTTATATGTTTTTGTCGAGGTTTGTAGTGGCTTGTACCGAAAAATCATGTCTTCCATACTTATGTGCAACTGAGTTGAAGGCAAGCAAGTATGGGCTAATACTGTCTATTTATTATTTAAACCCCTTAACCCTTTCGTTGGTAATATATAATTTTGGCAGCAATATGATAAACCTTACATACATATATAAAATTTCGAGAAAAATATGATTGAAGAAAACCGGTAAAAACCCCATATAATTCATTAGAAATTATTTTAATGCGATTTTATTATTATAATACCTGAGTCCCACAGGTTCCATTTAGTTCAGCAGCGGCAAGTAGGTCAGTTTGTCCGCAATCTTAATCCTTGGCTTTATCTAAACAGTATAATTGTTCCTCTACCTCAATTTGTATATAATTTTTTTTTTTTTTTTTTTTTTTTTTTTACCCCACTGGTGTATATTCCACTCAAAAACGCATAAATGTATGAGCGTGCGTATGTATGTTTTATTCTAGTGGGGAATACGAGTTAAAAGAAGTAATCCTAATACAGAGGAAAAGATAACTTACCGCAGTATAACCTTCCACACTCCATGGCTTTTGACTACAAACTCACCACGAGCGCTCCATATTTATCTGTCTAGTGTGCCCGATCTCTTCATGAGGGCACAATACCAAAATTCCAATACTAAATAATAAACTATCGATAATCGACCCGCGACATCCCCACCTCCCTGAAGAACCCCTTCACTCAAATCCAAAGCCACCAACTTTGAAGCGGGGCGCATTATCCAGCGAGTCCGATCTCCATTCATGATTCTAAAGCGGGCTCTTCTGACCTCACTATCCATTCCAGAAAAGGCTTCCGGTCCGCACTCACTGGCAAATGGGCGAGCAGACGCGAATAAACAATATTCTCCACCTCTATTAGGAAACTCTTCAAGACGTGCTCGGCGCCCAACTGTGGAGAACTGTTCACCGGCAGCGTCTGTGACGAGATAGATACTATCTGGGCACCTGAGCCGATCTGGGGTTGCACCACTGCTGGAAGAGTTTGGACTGGAGTGGTTAGTACAGCACTCACACTGGCCTGACCGCCCGAAGCAGCCGCCGACTGTTGATGCTTCGGCGCCACCTCCTTCACTGTGTGACTCAGCACCCTGTTTTCGCACTGCACCATTCGCTCCCAGATTCCGCCCTCTGACGGGTTCGACGGGCAATTAAAAATCCATTCAATCCAATTCCAAAAGTAGTCGAGGGCCTCCAGACGATCCTCTGGCAGGGGTCCCATAATCGGCGGCATCGGCCTTACACTCGCTGCATCCCGAAATCAATCTGCGAAGCATTCTCCGCAGTCTCGGAATCCAGAACCTGGTCCGGATTTCCGCCATCGTAGCATCCATGTTTTGATGCTTCATCCTCACTTGGGCACCTGCCGTTGTGCTTTAAGGACCAACAAATTCTTAGCTGCCTCACACTCAGCTACAGGCCATAGTTTTCAAGCCCATCTCGTTGTCCACGGCATCGACGCGTGAACCTTAGGACCCAGGCCGTAGTCCTTAACAATCTGCTGTAGCTTGAGAATGTCTGTAACAATATAAACGTGCCGCTTGCCCCAACAAGCGCAAGATCACTCGGCATCTGCTCTTCATCTTCTCCATAGGCATCGCCGGCGGGTGCAGCTCCTCCTCTCGGCTCCTCGGCTCTCCACAGGAATGCCGGTCCTCTCAACCAGCGCCACTCCTCACTTAGGTCGATACTGCATTGCAACCGAGTCGCATCACCGCCACGTTGTCGGCGGACGGTAGCCATCTCCATTGGGCCACCTTCGTGGACTCCAGAATCTCGGCTACTCTGTTCCCTACGAACTGCTTGTAGCGCCTGTGCGTGCTGCCAATCCAACGCAGCACTGCCTTCCAGTCTGTCCATAGCACAATCTCTGCAATGGGCACACCGTGGTTCTGCTTGACGGTGTCCATCAATCTTGATCCTAGAATGGCTGCTTGCAGCTCCAATCGTGGAATCGTCATCGTTCGCATCGGCGCACACTTCGTCTTTGCGCACACGAACCTCACTTGCTCGTCACCGTCTTCATTCGTGTTCCTCTAGCAGATCACTGCCGCGAATGTCGACTGACTCGCATCACAAATACGTGCATCTCGATGGTTTGTGGCTCCGAAACTGTTCCACTTTGTCCATTTCCTTACGCCAATCCCTTAAGGCGTTCTACCAGGCATTCTCCATACCCCTCGCAACAATAACTTCGCTGTTATCATCAGGCAACACAGAAATCCCAAGGGGTCAACCGTCGATATGACCATACTCAAGAATTCAATTTTTGTGGCAATTCTCTTCCCATCGGACACGATAGGGGCAACTTTATGGTACTTCACTCGGAACCTGAAGTCGTCCGTGGCTGGCTGCCACCGTATTCCCAAAATCTTCTGCTTGGCCTCACCCCATCATCTAACGACGTGGCTAGCAGGCAAGACCTCGGTGATGGCGTATCTCGTCGACCTTCTACGGGCTCAAAAACAACCCATCTTAGTTCGATTGCGGCCGCGTACGGTCCCTCTCTGGCAAACCGTCTCGTTCTCAATGGCAATTCTAAATGCCCGTGGTCCAATCCGATAAGCAGCTTGGTACTGCATTATCGTAGGGCTTCATCGGTAATTGAGCGTCCTTGCTCACGCTCTTGACATCTCGTCTGTGCGGGCTCTGCATCGGCAAACTCAAATTCGAAACGGCATACACGTTTCCCAGGACATGTCGGGGGCACTTTCCTGCTCCACTAATCTGTAGAAGTACGACGTTAGTAGGCTCTCTTGTGGCCCTACCTCCGAACCATTGAATATTCAGCTGACGAGGTACTCCTTGTAGGCCTAGCTCTGCAACTAGCTCCTTGTCGACCATCCTCATCGAAGAACCTTCATCCAGGAGTGCGTACGTATCCACCTGCTTCCCACCTCCGTAAAGCGTAACCGGCAATACACGGAACAATAGTCATTCTCGGTCCTCGTCGACACAGCTCAAATTCCTTTCCGGCGTCGCCGGAGCATCTACAGATGCTCCTTCATTCACTCGGACTCCTTCCCTCGGCCCAACTGCCTGTCGGATCCGGTTGTAGCTTCTCCGATTGCCGCCTCGCTGTGGCGGTCTCCGGAAGCCTTCATTGCTTACTTCATGCAGAAGACGGCGATACTTCCTCTGCATTCATATATATATTCATATGTCTCATATGTCTTCCATGAGGGTAGGATTACCCAGATGCTGCTGCTGCTGCTCTGCCTTAGCCGACTGCAAGAAGGCCTTGAGGTTACTCACATGCGTGGCGAATGCAACGAGCTTTACTAATTTGTGTTCCGTAACTGCGGGCACATCTCAGATGCTCTTGAGCTGTCTGCGTATTAGTTGCTCAGGTCGGCCATATCCAGCTAGATAGCTGCATTCACATTGCTGGGGTGAATCAACAACGACGTTACCGTCTCACGAGCGTCATCCTTTAACGCCTTCAGTAACCTCTGCTTGTTCTCCAAGTACGTACAACCATACGCTTGAGTCGTTTCCGTAAACGCGCAAGAGAAGATGGGCCAATCCTCTCTTATAGTCGTCGCCGAAGCACAGTCTACAGGAGACGGCGCTCTTACAGATGTTCCGCCGGCCACTTCATTGTGTAGCCCGAAACCATGTGCTGGAACCGTAGTGACGGCGATGCGTTACTGTTCCTCGTAGTACAGCTCTGCGAAACTGTGCACGGTACCGTTAGAGATCCGCTCAAAAATGGCGGTCTTCCTGACGCCGCATGACAAACACTTTTTGGGTTAGGTTCGGTCAGGCCGATTGCAAATAGCGGCTGACCTACCCCAACCTCACTCGACGTAACGGGATGGGTACGTTCCATATTAGCGCTGCAATCGCACTCCATTTTCTTCTCCAGCTCGGCTATCATATCCAAGAGGTCGGCCACCTTTTCTTGGCGGCTCCAGTACCTGCCGGCTGAGCAGATGACACCGGGGCTTCACTGCCTCGGCCGCCATCCTGCGACGTGCCTGCATTCGATTGCGGGACCAACGCGCTGCCATCCAGTTGCGGCGTCACTTTATCCTGTCCATCGTTCAGACGCAGATTCCTTCTGGGCGAATGCTGCATCATCTCGTCAAGGCACTTTGCGTTGTCTGCGCAAGATCGACCGTCTCACCAGGGTGCACTTCCAATGTCGCCAGTCGCCTGACTGCGAATAAGAGCTTCTATAGTCACTCGGGTGGGAGACGCCTACAACATACGGCGGCGATACGGCAACCCGCCTTCAATACACAAGCCACTGGTGTATATTCCACTCAAAAACGCATAAATGTATGAGCGTGCGTATGTATGTTTTATTCTAGTGGGGAATACGAGTTAAAAGAAGTAATCCTAATACAGAGGAAAAGATAACTTACCGCAGTATAACCTTCCACACTCCATGGCTTTTGACTACAAACTCACCACGAGCGCTCCATATTTATCTGTCTAGTGTGCCCGATCTCTTCATGAGGGCACAATACCAAAATTCCAATACTAAATAATAAACTATCGATAATCGACCCGCGACATCCCCACCTCCCTGAAGAACCCCTTCACTCAAATCCAAAGCCACCAACTTTGAAGCGGGGCGCATTATCCAGCGAGTCCGATCTCCATTCATGATTCTAAAGCGGGCTCTTCTGACCTCACTATCCATTCCAGAAAAGGCTTCCGGTCCGCACTCACTGGCAAATGGGCGAGCAGACGCGAATAAACAATATTCTCCACCTCTATTAGGAAACTCTTCAAGACGTGCTCGGCGCCCAACTGTGGAGAACTGTTCACCGGCAGCGTCTGTGACGAGATAGATACTATCTGGGCACCTGAGCCGATCTGGGGTTGCACCACTGCTGGAAGAGTTTGGACTGGAGTGGTTAGTACAGCACTCACACTGGCCTGACCGCCCGAAGCAGCCGCCGACTGTTGATGCTTCGGCGCCACCTCCTTCACTGTGTGACTCAGCACCCTGTTTTCGCACTGCACCATTCGCTCCCAGATTCCGCCCTCTGACGGGTTCGACGGGCAATTAAAAATCCATTCAATCCAATTCCAAAAGTAGTCGAGGGCCTCCAGACGATCCTCTGGCAGGGGTCCCATAATCGGCGGCATCGGCCTTACACTCGCTGCATCCCGAAATCAATCTGCGAAGCATTCTCCGCAGTCTCGGAATCCAGAACCTGGTCCGGATTTCCGCCATCGTAGCATCCATGTTTTGATGCTTCATCCTCACTTGGGCACCTGCCGTTGTGCTTTAAGGACCAACAAATTCTTAGCTGCCTCACACTCAGCTACAGGCCATAGTTTTCAAGCCCATCTCGTTGTCCACGGCATCGACGCGTGAACCTTAGGACCCAGGCCGTAGTCCTTAACAATCTGCTGTAGCTTGAGACTGTCTGTAACAATATAAACGTGCCGCTTGCCCCAACAAGCGCAAGCTCACTCGGCATCTGCTCTTCATCTTCTCCATAGGCATCGCCGGCGGGTGCAGCTCCTCCTCTCGGCTCCTCGGCTCTCCACAGGAATGCCGGTCCTCTCAACCAGCGCCACTCCTCACTTAGGTCGATACTGCATTGCAACCGAGTCGCATCACCGCCACGTTGTCGGCGGACGGTAGCCATCTCCATTGGGCCACCTTCGTGGACTCCAGAATCTCGGCTACTCTGTTCCCTACGAACTGCTTGTAGCGCCTGTGCGTGCTGCCAATCCAACGCAGCACTGCCTTCCAGTCTGTCCATAGCACAATCTCTGCAATGGGCACACCGTGGTTCTGCTTGACGGTGTCCATCAATCTTGATCCTAGAATGGCTGCTTGCAGCTCCAATCGTGGAATCGTCATCGTTCGCATCGGCGCACACTTCGTCTTTGCGCACACGAACCTCACTTGCTCGTCACCGTCTTCATTCGTGTTCCTCTAGCAGATCACTGCCGCGAATGTCGACTGACTCGCATCACAAATACGTGCATCTCGATGGTTTGTGGCTCCGAAACTGTTCCACTTTGTCCATTTCCTTACGCCAATCCCTTAAGGCGTTCTACCAGGCATTCTCCATACCCCTCGCAACAATAACTTCGCTGTTATCATCAGGCAACACAGAAATCCCAAGGGGTCAACCGTCGATATGACCATACTCAAGAATTCAATTTTTGTGGCAATTCTCTTCCCATCGGACACGATAGGGGCAACTTTATGGTACTTCACTCGGAACCTGAAGTCGTCCGTGGCTGGCTGCCACCGTATTCCCAAAATCTTCTGCTTGGCCTCACCCCATCATCTAACGACGTGGCTAGCAGGCAAGACCTCGGTGATGGCGTATCTCGTCGACCTTCTACGGGCTCAAAAACAACCCATCTTAGTTCGGTTGCGGCCGCGTACGGTCCCTCTCTGGCAAACCGTCTCGTTCTCAAAGGCAATCCTAAATGCCCGTGGTCCAATCCGATAAGCAGCTTGGTACTGCATTATCGTAGGGCTTCATCGGTAATTGAGCGTCCTTGCTCACGC